CAAAGCCATAATGAATCCATTAATGTATGTTACTCCTGGATAATATTCATATATGGACTCAATTTCAGACTTATTACCGGCCTACTTGGCTGGTTCAATGTGTGTGGACCTAGCCGACGAACGAAGCCGAGTCGGGAGTGGGGAGGTGGGGAGCGCTGAGCGCGAGTCTCTGCGTATGCGTCGTCGCTAGTCGCCGCACACTAGTCTCCGGAGAACTGGACAAAACAGCCTCGAAAAGTGACTTCAACGGCGATCCAGTACTTTGCGACTCTATTGTACTCTATGGATTCAGATCACAGAAAAAGTTTCCTCTTCAAATTTTTTTCCTGCGTGTTATCATCAGACGAAAAACAGCAGCGAGTAAAGATGAAAATTTTTGGTACCTTAAGCAGGCTCTGATATCGTCAGTGAAAGTGTAAAGACAGACACCTTGATTGGGCCCGGAAATTTGCAACAATGCAGATTGTAAAACAAGGTTTTTGTGTTTTACCATTGATAAATTATGTGAGTATCAATGAAGTTAGGTTAAACTCTTCTTCTACAGAGGTAAGTAATGACAGCCAAACCAGTTGAGTGATCGATCATTACTGCCAGGCACTAAAAACCTACTGGCCGCTTATCAGCAGATTTTTAGAATAGGCAATGCATACTTGCTATTGGATGAATCACTCAGCATTCAAGGCTGAAATTAGTAGCTGTTATACTTTACGATCAGCTTATCTTCTTGCGAACTTTATTACACCCAAAGATGATGACGGATAAATGATCGGACAATACGTAAGTTGCATAAAATGAAAGGCCTCTAATTATTGAAAACTTCACGAAATTTTGCAATAACTTGAAGGAGCTTTGATGGCTGATTCAGATGCTTGTAGATTAAACAAGTCTCAGGCTGAGTGCTTGAATCCAGATGAGGTACTTGAGAGGAACATGTAATGGAGAAATTAGAGAGATGTTCCTTACCAAGATAAGTTGTTTTCAATGGCCATTGCAGCAGTGGAATATCTTGTCAGCGTTTGAGCGTCATATGTACGACTGATAATTACAATTTGGTCGTAATTCAGTAAAAATCACTTTCATATTTAACTTTTGTTATGACAAATTAAAGCAAACATTACGCATACGCAATCAACACTCTTATCTCTGAAGTTCTGAACCACGTTGCGCAATTTCTACATCCGTATGATTTTTGCATTGCAGAATATGGCCGAAATTCGTAAATCTGACTTCTAGTCAGCTGTGAGGGAGCCTGCCATCTCTATTGAAATTATCTTTGTTAACCTCTCATCTCTTTCATTGTAGTAACTGGTTATCACATTATTGTTTTTATTGTTGTTAAAAGGAATGGAATCGTTCCTTCACGTTTTGTAAGTTTTGTGTAATTTGTGGTGTTGTAATTGATCGGTAAGAACTGAAAAATTTTATTATTCGTGCTTGATACCACTCTTTGACAATGGGGCATAAACATAAGAAGGAGGCAAAAAAAAAGAAGAAGCGCTCAGAATCGCCAGAATGTGTCGATGTCGAAAGAGAAAGACGCCACCACAGGAAGCATCATAAAGAACGGCACAAGGAGAAACACTTGAAAAGGAAGAAGGAAGAAGAAATCATCATTAGCGATGGTAAGTTCTCTCATACCTCCAACTTAATCTTCTTATGTGGTTAATTATCGGTGGCTATGAATGGATAAGGCCATAACGCCAAATTGCTACAATGCGATTGCAGTATCAGCAATTTCCTCATTAGGTACTCAAAGACACTCTCAGTTTTGAAATCCTCTTATCTCCATTTATATGCAAATTCTCCACATTCGAATTAAGAATTTTACTTTCAATTTTGCCAGTATTTTTAGGCGGAGAAGGATGATCTCATTTAGTTCCTGGAGAGCTGAGGAAGAGGCCCATCATCTGTCAACTTCGAGTTATGAAGATAGCATCTAGGCCGCCATGAAACTTTTATCTTGAAGTTAGTGGTTTGGGAAGTTTTTTTGAAAAATGTCTTAGTCTGATTGGATTCTTTGAATTGAGGAGATGACCCTAATTTCCGATGTAAAATGTCCATATCATATTTGAAACTGAAAATCAAGGAAAAGGATGCACAAATCCCATTAACAATTGCGCAGATTTTGACTAGTTGCTGTCAGATGAGGCAGGTAAATACACCATTCATCATTGGTGTTGGTATCTTGTACTTAGTCGATCATTCTGAGGTGACGTCTCAAACTGTTCGGTGGAAGGTAAACCAAATCTGTTGGCTAACCGATACTTTTCACTCCAAACTGTTGGTTATTGCTTCATATTATCCCAGTAATATTGGCTGCAGATTGTGCCTTTTTTCAGAAAAATGCAATTTACTTGCTCCTGTGATCCTCCTGCTCCTTAACCAGTTTTGTATAACACGCCAGGTAGAGTATATCTCTTTTCTGTCATGTCAAATCGATCTTACCTGTACCCCCTGAAATTTCATGATGTCAGCTATTAAATCTAGATTACTGTGATGCAAGAGTGCAGCAAATCTTGCTTCTGCAATTGGCAGGGTAAAATTGGAATACTCTAAAAAGATATTGTGAATATGATAGGGTCGGTTGTCAACACTAAAACGGCACATCATCTGCAGAACTTGAATGATTTCAATTGAGAAGCAAGAAGCAAAAATATAATAATGATTGCCTAGAAAAAGGAGGAGAAATGATGGTTGTATAAAAATAGGGAATCTAGAACTCTGCATCCCTGTTGGGGTAGAGCTTATTATCGCCATTTTGCATTCGTTCCTTTTTTCTTCTGCTACTAATAGAAGATTGTCCCACAGTAATGGTTCTTGATAAAAGAAAATAGTCCCAATGGTATACGTTCTGAGTAAGCAAAGCAAGCATTGCCTACCTTTGGATTTAAGAAGAAAGGAAGAAGTCACACCCGCAAAATTGATTGAATTTTCTCTAAATATAAGGATAAACGGTTGTCAGCGCGAAATTGTTGTGAAAATTAAAGGAGATTAAAGGAATCAGAGAATGACATATAGATACGATGAAAATGCGCTCCCTGGTCAGGACATAGGAAAATTGTTTACTCTGGTCTGTGAGACACACTGTCTGTGTGTCTTCCTTGCATGTGAGAAATGAGACTCATTCTGAGCTTCAAGATGGGAGCAGAGTACTGGATGCTCCGAGTCTGGGCTTAAATGGGAATGATTCTATTCTCATTCTGTTCTCCTTCGTGTTTTTTTTCTTTTTCCTAGAAAAGTAGCCGCTGTTATTGCACACTAGTTTTGCTGCTTTCTTAGATATTTGTCGGTATTGTTTCAGATGATGACCTCGTTGAAGTTCCCCCACCTCCAAAAATCTCTCGTCACTCTCCAGGACCCCCACCTCCGAAAATCTCTCGCCGCTCTCCAGGGACTCCATCGCCTCCTCCAATTGGAAGAACTCTGTCACCTCCGCCTCCGCCAACAATCAAATCCTCTTCGGACAGCAGCTTGTCAATTGAAGAAACTAACAGGATTCGTGCAAAGTTAGGTTTGGCGCCTCTAGAAGTTCCTTCAAATGATGTCAAGAAAGATGAAGACAGGAAACCGAAGATTGTCATGGGCGGAACAGATATGGGCGACTTCGTTCACAAACCTGCAGGTCGGTATTATTAGTACAATTTTAGTCCTCTTAAATTCTAAAGGAAGTTAATTGCGGGGAACTCTATTGCTTAGAGCCATAATTTTTTTTTTTATTACTTTCTCTTTCAATCAGATCAGTGGTATCCTTTTTAAAAATTTCTTGTTTTAAAAAAGTGATACCATACATATTTTCAATGCTTGGTAATTTGTCAGACAGACCTTTATCTTCTCCTACTGTATTCTCTTTCAAGACAGGTTCAAAGTTTTATTAAGTCACTCTTATTTAATCACAGGTAAAAATCATATCCATGACATGCATGATAATTAATTTTTGAGCTAAAACTCTGTACAGTTATTGCTTGATATGAGAATTCATAGACTTTTTGACATCAAATTAATTTTTTCAACCCTGATAAGTTTTTTTTCTCCCTTGAAACATCCAAGTGGAAAATTAGTTCAGACTTTAATTCAATTTTGAAACTAAGAATGGTTTTTCAAAATTATTCACATCCATTTGTTGCATGGATTGATAAATGTATAATCATGTAAACCTTTTACTCTTCAGGTTTTCATGATCATGCTACTCTGAAGGTCTTTTTCTCTGGTCTTTTTAGCAACAACACTTTAACAATCATTATTCAAAGTTGTACACATTTTCCCCCTTTATTCTGTTTTTTTTTTTTTTTCCAATCATTATACCTAGGTTGCATGAGATGGTGAAAACATGAATGAATTCAATTTGTTATTTTTCATTTTCAGAGAATATTTTCGAAAAAGCGCAGACTGAAAAAATCAAAGCAAAAATTGCAGAGCGTAAAGCGAAGCGTGAAATGGATGCTAAGCTTTCAAAAGTGAAAGGGCTAGCCGACAGTGACTCAGAGGATGATGTTTCTTCTTGGGTGGAAAGAAGCAGGAAGCTAGCCATCGAGAAAGAGAAAGCTGAAAGAAAGGCTAAAGAACTAGATGATATGGATGCAGCGTTTGGTATCGGTGATCTTGTAAATGATGATCTTAGAATAACACGAAAAGAGGCTTATACGGCAAAGAATTTGCAAGGTCTACGTGTCGAACATGATGTGGTATGTTTTTTTATTAATATTGTTTTTCCATGACCTTGTTGATTTAAGAATGTTTTTTCATCCTTTTTTTTCAGATAAGTATAACATGATAAAAAAGGATTTATGCCCACTTAAGTAAAGAGGATCCTTGGCCTCAAGCATTGACTGTTTGTTTTCTTATTTTTATAAGCTGTTCTAAGAGTTGATCTAAAATAATTTTTGATCAGAAGATCGTGCATAAGAGGACCTCATTTGGCCGTCAAAGCACATAATCAGAAAAAAAACAACATTTCCATGATTTTTAATATCTTCTCTCCTGAATGATAGCTGATATTGAATTATATCTTAGCTTTACCGGCACCTGCACCTGTCTGTGATACACAATCATTTTACATTTATAGACACTCCTGCATGTATAAATAAATCTTTAACTGAAAGGAGATTTATTTTTCAGAAAATAATAAGAACTCTAGTTGAAGGAATGGATGTGATTTGGAAGCAGATGAAACATGAACTTTCATAAAAATGTTCTTGAAATTCCGATTTTGCCCTAAGTGAACCATTTTTCATCACACTCAGTCGTGATCTCAGTGCAGCTTATTTCTGGCTAGTCTTTACAAGTGTATGCATTAATCAATGATGTTTCAAGAATTGAAGTATTGCAAACTTTCGTGGCCAATTCAGATCTCCAGCTTCCTTATTTGTGTATGTGAATTAATCAAATGTAGGCATAATAATTGAAACTGTCCAGTTTTCATGACCAGATGGACCAGAGTTTAGGGTGACAAGGAAAGTGCCTATTCTAGTTTCATAAAATTCCCTTAAAATTGCGTCTTCCGCGGTAAAAATTGTATCTTATTTCAAAAGGTCCTTGAATCAACATTTCATTTATTCAACATTTTCTTTTTGCAGAATACTTTTGCTGAAGGTAAAAATGTCATACTTACTCTCAAAGATAAAGCTGTACTGGATGAGGATGATGATGCCCTAGTCAATGTTAACTTAGTCGATGAAGAGAGATACCAGAAGGTAATTAGTTGTCTTTACTTATTTCCGCCTTTTTCATGATTTATCCAGATCAGTATGAACCTCCATGCAATTTTTCACAAATTGTACTAGTGCCCTCCACACTCAAACTTTAAATTTGCTTTCTTCAGGTGAGTCAAGTTTTGAAAGGCCAGAATATTGTGTGCATCATTCGACCTGATTTCTCTGGGTTTTTCCTGATTTTGAGAAATAAAGTGTTCAATAAACTATACTGCTCAATTTCCTGGAAATTTAAAATTTCTCAGCCCTTATCTTGCAATCTAGATTTTTCTTTTCAGTTTTTCTTGAAAATGAATCTTTTTTTGACATCATGGATTCAAAAGTCTGCTCTCTCCCAATCAATTTCATAGATTTGATTGGAATTAGCCTGACCGCATATGACGTCGTCTAATTTTCTCTCTAGTTTTATTTTTTTACTAGAAAACTAATCTATCTAATGCCTCATTTCTCTGTGATTTTACCTTGTATCATGAAGAATATACTCCAAAAATTTCAATGTCCAGTTATTCTTAGCTCTTTGTTTAAAAAATTAAACATCAGAGAAAACTAGGCAATGCCTTATGTAGTGAGGCTGATTCTGTATAAATTAGTTCTACTTTCAGCCACCTTGTTTGTTTTGCACTTAAAGTTTGTATGTACTAACTTTTTCAAGTAATCAGCAGATCTTGTTAAAGTGCAGGTGCATCTTATTCTCTCACATCCATTTATCAAAAGTGACTAATTAAATTTTGTCTCTTCTAGAATATATTTAACAAAAAACAGAAACCCCATCAGTTTGGCTACAACGCTTATGATGATGGAGAGGAAGACGTTGAGATGTCTGAAAATCAGGTTCTCTCAAAATATGATGAGGAAATTGGTGGAGAGAAAAAGAAAAGTTTTGTTATTGGTAAGTTTATTTCTTAATCATTTCAAATGAAGAATGAACACAGTTCAGTCTGGTCGTGCAGAGGTTCTTGGGTACCATGCAATAGGGCGTATTTATACTGTCATGTCATTAAATCTCCATGCACATATTATTTTATAACAAAATCATCGTTACGCCTCAAGTTTGCAAATCCTAAGAGAATTTTTTAACAATACCATCAAAAATAGCAGGCATCTTCTGAAAAATTTGAACAATAATCTATAATATGTAACAAAAGAGAATAGTCGTGGACATTTTGAAACATTATATCACTCATGTGTCCCTCAGTGCAGTAGGGTGCATATAACTGCAAATTGAGTCACGGGTATTCAGACAAATCCTTGTCAGTAGGCTATTGGTACTGCTTGTTCTAAAATAGCAATGCACTCTGATAAGTCTGCTATTGTCGGAAACGGCCGGCTTTATGGAAACTTTGAGCTCTGAGTCAAAGCTTTGTTGCCTTAGGCAGATTGCATGGCCCATAAAACTGATAAATATGGTAACAGCTCATTTTTGGCTCCAGAAACTCCGGTATGTATCGATAAAAGTCTTCTTATCATTACAATTTTTAATGGAACTCTTACGATTATTACTTTTTAATCGATAGCTTACCAAAAACTAAGTGCATTCTCAAGTTAAGCTGTTAATTTTACTTCTTCTTAATCTCTTCAAAAATCCCAGAATTTTTGTGGAAATGCCAAATAAAAATTCCAAACTCACTAATAGAAGACACTTGTGAAGAGTCCATCCTGTGGATATCCAATCATTGTTGTAGACGTTCTCATACAATAGTTGGTTCTGTCAGTCCAGTACAGGTTTTACTTTTTTGTTAATCAAGAGGTACTGCAGAAGAGCTATCAATTATTTTTAATTAAGTAGGTCTAACTAAAATTAATGAGGTCAGTTTTTTTCCCTAAAGTTATATGTTTTTATTTTCTTTACTTGTTCACTTGTTTATCTACATGTTTACTCGGTTAATTTTAAATCTTATCCTTTTCTTGATTCATTTCAGGTGATGAAACTAAACTTGAGCGCAAGAAGATGCAAGTAAAGGAAAAACTGATGGCTGGCAAAAGACTAGAAAGCCTCGGAACCTTATCATTAAATTTAGCTTCTGATTATTATACTGAACAAGAAATGAAAGTGAAGTTTAAAAAGCCCAAGAAGAAGGTATGTTTAGATCAAGTATCGTCTTTAATTCCCTCTAAGTCTCTGTGTTTTAACCCCGAATCAAACTGTGTTCTTTATTAAATGCCTTTAATGCCCTTACAGGAGTAGGCTTGTGAGGGTGATCAAGCTTGTTGGTTCTTAACATTTTTAAGGTTAAGTGCAGAAGTCTAGTCGAATGGAAAGACTAAAGTTGTATGGAAAATAATTTTTTTAAAAATTTTGTTACAGATTAAAAAAAGCATGAGGAAGATGCTAAAAGCTGATGATTTATTGCCGCTTGAAAGCAGCAGTCAATCGGAAGCTCAAGATAATTGGCTCCAAGATTCGGGTTCCAGGAGGAGGCCACATGTAGATTTGAAACCGGATCCTGAAGCTGGCTCTTACAGCGGTAGTAGGAATATTCGCATCAAAGACGAACCTATGGATATGGAGTTAGACACAGATGATCTTCCTCGTAAGTTATTATCTTTCTAATTTTGTAATCAGTGTGTTTTTGGACATAAAAATCTAGCTTCCCTCGCTGATGCAACATAGATAGAGCGTTAGCAGGTAGAATTTTGGAAAAGTAGAATATAGTACACTGACTCAAATATCATCATGGAATTTCAATTTTAGTAGTTTTAAGAACCAACCCATTACTGTTCTAATAAGTTCAATCCGTCACTGCATCCAAACTGATGAAAGGTTTGCAAAGGAGGGCTTTTTATTTATTATCAATTTTTCTCTTGAAGTGACTGTCAGATGAAGAAAATCTTTTACTTTCCTAATGCATTTTTAAATGGATTTAATCAAATTCAGAAACTTGAATGTAATTAGAATTGAATAATGTAACATCTGAAAAATCTTGGAAAGCCCTTTACAATTATCCGCCGGAAATGTGTACTATCCTCTCTTAGCAAAAAGTAACTCATTATTCAGTGAGAGCTATATACCTGCGCAAGGTTCGCTTGTGAAATAGATTACTGATCTAAATGAAAGTCATGATTTTTTCCGTGAAAAAACCATCTAAAATAATAGATGAAAGTAATAATTTTGCATTGATTTTGATTTTTCTTTGTTCATCATCCTCCAAGCAAAATTTTAGTCAAAGAATAAGCTAAGCTGTACATTTTATCTCACTTTCTAGCTTTACCTGTAGATTTTGTTGTATTGTCTTGTTACTGTATTTGCAATATCTCATGACTAAGTTTTGCATGATCTGAGTTGCAATTCCTTTTACTTTGATTGTAAAAATTATCCTCACTAGCTCTCCAAGATTTTATTTGTTTCAATTTTTTTTCAGCGGTGCCAGATGATTTGTCTGGTGTAGTTTTAGACGAACCTGATGATTTTGAATTGGAGCTAGCGCTGAAGAAAGCAAGAAAATTGAAACAAATGGAAAATACAGAAGTAAAACCAGAAGAAAAAGTAAGTAATCAGCAGATTGTAAACTAATAGAACCTTAAGCGGGTTGTGTAATTTTTTAGTTAAATCGCCACATTGATTGATTACACATTTTTCTTCATCTTTGCTCCTCTTCTCTAACGTGTGTTCAAAGGTATTTTGAAATAATAATTTTTCGTCAGCCAAAGCCGAATTCAAAGCTGGGTAACATTTTTTAGATGGTCTTTATATTATGATATGTGACACTGGAATGTACAAAGTAATTAAAGCCTTAAACCAAAGTACTTTCATTTTATTGACCCAAAATAGTGAGGTATTCATTTTCATGAAAATATCTCATTCCCTACAGTATGGACTATGTTGGTCCCATATATGTCCTGTCCATTCCTCGTCAGTATTTTTGTTTCTCTTCTTTTTTTGACATTTTGTTGAATTTGTGTTACAGGTAATCAAAATAGCGGAAAGATTAGATCACAAAATGGCTTACGAAGAGTCTGGCCCAGGTGGTTCAATCGTTCTGAATGCTACGGCTGAGTTTTGTCGGACGTTGGGTGACATTCCTACGTATGGCCAAGCTGGTAATCGTGAAGAAGATGAGCAGCAGATTCTGGAGCTTGAACAGGAATTGAAGGAGGAAAAACTTCGCATGCAGGAAGAGCGCAACATGCGTGGCGGGTGGAATGAAGTTGATATGAGTGAGTTCCGTAACAGAATTATTTATTTTATTTTGGAAACTAGACCATGAGAGATCTCACCATTTCTGGTGATAAAATTGTGAGAACATTGGATGACATTTTGTATTATACAAATTGTATATGAATACTTGAAACATCATAGTATAACAGAATCCTAGGAATTTTTGTAAAAATATCAAAAAAATCCAGGATTACCAATTGATTGATCGATCATCAAATTGCTTTCATAAGCACAGTATATCCAGCTCAAAGCAACCCTTATTTTTGACAAAAGTGTGCGTCAAATTTTATGCTGTTCCAGTTTAGATGTCAAATAATGAAGTGGTAATTATTAAATTCAGTCCTTGTTTTTCTCAAGTACTCGCTTCCAGTTTATTGAGTGAAAATATATATATGAAGTCTGCCTGATGTAATTCTCGATAACTTGTCCTTTATCCTCGTATCTCAACAACTCCAAAAAAGGGCTCTTTAAAGTTAGTTCAGTAGTTTTTTTTTTCAAATGTAGCTCTTTACCAGCAGATTGGATAAAATTTTGAAATTGATAATCTTGTTTTTCATTTTGCAGATAACGAGTCAACTACTGTGACAGCCCCAATTGAGGCACCAATCCTCGATGCAGAGCCTGATCTCGGAACTGGCATTGCTGGAGCCTTAAAATTAGCTCTCAGTAAAGGTTATCTGGAAAAAGAAGTGTCAAAGCGACCGTCAGCATCCCGCTTCTCTCATCTGCAAGCACAGAATTATTCGATTGAGGACAAAGCACATGTAGAAGATGATAAATTCAGTCGCAGAGAGCGCTTCAATGGGCCAACCACTGATTTCCGAGAGAAAGATGGTTACAAGCCCAATATAAAATTGGATTACATTGATGATGATGGACACAAACTTAGTCAAAAAGAGGCATTCCGTTACTTATCCCACAAGTTCCATGGAAAAGGACCCAGTAAAAATAAGGTAGAAAAACGAATGAAAAAAGTAGAGCAGGACTCTTTGATGAAACAGATGTCATCCACTGATACACCGCTTGGCACATTGAATATGCTACAGGCCAAGCAAAAAGAGACTCAATCACCATTTGTCGTTCTCTCAGGGAATAAACAAATTCAATCGATATCAAAAGCGAAATTTTAAATGGCACTAATTAATTTGTCTTTTGGTACCTCTTATGAAAAGGTGAAAATGTTCTCCATTCAAACCAGCTAAGAAACTGCTATTCATATTTTTCAAAATGTTTACCTCTCGTCAGATTATATGAATTTTATACAAATTGTTATTACTGGGAATAATTGTTAGTTCAATTGTGCAAGGTGAAGGCTCAACAAAGCTCCTCTAGAATGATGTTTTTGTTTTTAGAAATTCAAAACATATTCCTCAGAAAAGTTTTCATTTGATTATTTTTAATTGTCAGAAAATGGGATCAAAAATTTGTTTTGAAAGTTTGATACCTCTTGTTGAGAATCAATACATTGACTGCCAAACACAAACATAGAGATCTCTGTTGAAGCTACAATAATTATGAGGTTCTTGCATTTTTATGACCTATGAAACTGCAAAAAAGGGTTCAGTTTTGTCACTGGTGCTGAGTGCTTTTGTTCAGGCACTGCAGTCTTGCACTGCATTACAAGAACACTGAACATGAGGTTGGTCTCTGAATCTCTGAATGACCGATCACAGAAAGTGCTGAATAGAAATTGGCATGACTTCCTCAAAACCATACAATGTCAGTTTTGGACAGTCAATGAGATAACCATTTGTAAAGCTAAACTGAGTCTTGAATCATGAGTGAATGTGAACCTTTAACATTGGAGGAGAGCCTCCTAATATACAGGGTGATCTCAAAGTTCTGCACCACCCCTATAACCCCTACAGTTCTTCCCTTTTTCCAGGGTGGTTCCCTGCAAATTTTGGGGACCCCCAAAGTCGTTTCTTTTGATCTGGGAGCACTCACAAAATTTCAAGTCTCTTCCTAAATTTGAACACCAGTTAGAGGGGTGATTCTTGGTGCTTGTGGTGTGTGACTATAGGATCACCCTGTATGATGTGACTATTGAGAGACATTAATATTTTTAAAAATGCTGTTTGGAGTACTCACCTCTGATTGATTTTAGCTCCATAAGTAATTGAATATCCTGCTTGCAAAGCTTGTAAAAAAAGGCATTTTGTGAATAATTTTTCCAGTGTTATTAATGAGTTTGTAGATTTAGCACCATAAATTTTATTTAAACTGTATCAAGAACCTATGAGCCCCACCCTGAAGTGTATTTTTTCTTCTAGTGTCGCTGTCAAATTTCCTTTTTACCCCCAAAAGCACAGACAACTTTATATATATTTCTGTGAATCGACAGCAAAACTCCCAAACTCGTTTATCTTGGTTTGCAACGTTGCAGACTTCCTGCCATAGTTTATTTTTCAAATGAAGAACCACTCAACGTGATTTTTCTGCTCTGTTCAAAGCCAATTCTGAGAAAACCTCAAGGTACGATGTTGACTTCTTGTTTTCTTTCAAAAAAATAAATCAGAAGTGGAAATTTTTAAACACTGCAAACGAGGTACATGGTTTGGGAGTCTCACCATCGAAGTGTAACTTAAGATCTAAGTTGCTAGGTGAAAAATTGAATAGTGATGCAAACAAAATTTGATTTTCAAAACAAAAAGTGCTCTATTTTGTTGACAGACAAATGAAAAATTGTCTATCTTTGTACAGTTACAACAAATCTGTGAAATAATTACTTTTGAGCTCCATCCGTCACTTTAGTTGCCCTGTGATTCAGATTTAGGTTAATTATTGCTGTAAATAATTTTAATTTTTTTTTTCATCCTTGTCTGTTGGTTTTTTCTCCAACTTTGTACAATCGAAGAGGTTTGCTCCGGAACAGAAGATAGAAATTAATGAATGAGCAGTGTCAAAGCTCAACAAGATTTAGGTTCATGATGGTGAGAATGATGTAATAAAAACCCATGCTTCTGTGAACAGTTTGCTTTCTTCTCTCCTCTCCTCAATTTATTGGTAAATTATTTTAAACCTTTTTTTTCTGTCTTAAATTACTTCAAATTTCAGTTCTATGTTGCATCCGCTGATGTTAAATAAAACCATTTTCCATTATTATTTCCTCTGAAATTTTTGCAGTGGTGAATGCATAGCTGAAGTGCGCTTCAGCTGGAATTGTATTTAGCAAATGGGTGGTTTTTCTACGAGGATTAAAAATAAACCAGTGGTACGGAATATAACAAACGAATATGAACTATGCAAAACGATAATCCGGGTATCGGAACTTGGCTGTTTTAAAAACGCCTTCAAATGCGGCGTGATACCTCACGCATTCCGGAGAGTTCAAATAGGCGTATCATTGCGCCTTAGAAATGCGACGAAAGATTGCAATTGAAATAGCCCTCATGCACGCTGGCCTTTTCGATTTCCGTTAACATTTTTGCAGTGGTGAATGCATAGCTGCAGTGCGCTTCAGCTAGAATTGTATTTAGCAAATGGGTGGTTTTTATAAGTGGATTATAATTAAACAAGTGGTTAGAAATGGAAACAAAATAATATGAACTATGCAAAACGATTATTCCGGTAACGGAACTTGGCTGTTTTGAAAACGCCTTCAAATGCGGAGTGATACCTCACGCATTCCGGAGAGTTCAAATAGTTGTATCATTGCGCCGTAAGAATGTGACGGAAGATTTAAATGGAGATTATCTTTGAACTCGTTTTCGCATTTTAAGCTGGACCTCTCGCAGCATTTGTCTAAGGCTCTGCACGCACCTTGTGCTCAATATTTTTTGGTTATTTCTTTTTTCGTTGTTAGATCACGAAAATATCTGGAAAGAATATGAAAGAATTTTTTAAAGATACAAGGATTTTTTTCAATTAGTTTGACTCATTATGCTCGTTTTTTATTTAAAACATAAATTTTGCAACTTATGCCCATTTCACATTCAACTCATCAAGTTACATCACTACCCTGTGCCATAGTGGTTGAGACAGGAGGATTAAATAGAGCAAAAATACACACAATCGTTTTCACTTTATACCATTTAATATACGTACAAAAAAGTATAACTTAAAATAAGCCTATCTTCTAGTTGAGAATCGTACTTTGCCTCATTTCTAGAAATATTTATCTGAAACTTTTACTAATAGCTGTGAAAATGTCTTATCAAAAAATCCATCATTACTTTCTCGGTTTGAGGAATTATCTCTTGATTTAAAAAGTTTAATGACAGATAAATTCAGTCTTGCTAAAATAGGCCTTTCTGAAATAGTCCCATCAAATTACAGCACTAAAAAAGTGCAATCTGGAAAAATCAATATGTGGAAGGTTTCTTTGCATGAACATGTTGCAATCGACCACCAGAACAACATAGCGAAAGTTTAGGTACCAGAATTATAGCTGTCCGCTAAGGCCACCATCTCGAAAAAAGTCGGGCTGATTAGCCAAAATACGCCGCTGGCGACCGGTTTTTCTCAAAAGAATCAATCTCACGGGATAATGTCATACCTCTTGTAAAGAGCACAAAATTTCCTATTAGAAACAGTGTGTACATTTATTAACTTGTTACCTCCAGTTTATGAGATGGCGGTAGTTTTGTCCAATTAGGAAAGTCGACTTTTGCTAGAATTCACGCTTTTCCCACGAAATCTACAATTATAAAAACGGCGAGTCTGAGGAAAAAAATTGCCCTCGCTGAAATCGAAGAGCATAAAATTTTCAAAGGAGCAGTGCCTAGTATTTTACTAAGGGGTCCGCCCCTGGATAACTATGCGGTCCGACCCAATGGCGGCTGCTGTATACGGTGGCGAGTCTCGGCTTGGCCGCGCTGTATCGCGCCTCGCTTATTTGCCATGGTTTATGCTGATTCTTCCACCAAGTTGAAAACAATTGGAAAATGAAATAATTTTCTCAGAATCTACTTCAAACTAATCGGACTCCGTAATAGATCGACAGGAAATCAGGTTAAAAAAGTACTTATGAGTTGTATAAATTTTACAAGGTATGATAGCGGATCTAAAATGTAATCAGTTCAAGAAAAATGAAATTTTGATTTTGCGACATAAATGATCTAGCTCATCTTAACCCTCCCCTCTTCCTCCTTACGGTGTTACTTGAGCTTGTTACCAGTGAGCAAAAAAGAAAGAGGGGAGGACGACAAAATCTCCTTTTGCGATTTTGCGTTAAAGCACTGCTGATTTACGTGCACGACAACTGAACCCATTAAACAGTCACATTTGAATTATCTGATTGCTGCGGGCAATCTGCATGCATATTTCCTTTTCAAACTCCTCTGTGCAATTCTTTACTGGTAAAATAAACGCTGTCTCTACGCGTCAAAATTTTCCCCCGGTGTTAGTCTCTTTTTCACGGGTGAAACTGTACTCGCATTAGCATCTGCTACTTCTTGTTTTCATTTACATTAACTTTAGACAGACTCATTATTTGAATATTTTTGTCTGCATTCTGCATGAACCGTTTCATTAATTTTACCCAGTCATCCTACAAAATTATTATTTATTCTCTGTTTCAACAGTTTCTTTCAAATCTAATGTTGTATCATCGTTTCTGATCGCGCCAAACATAGTGCGGCTGCTGCGCGCCAGCTGGAGCAGATCGCACATGAGCGCCTACAAGACTGCAGGAATACTTCACGCATTGCGCAAAACTCAGTTGCGGTCGCTGCATGCGCTGGCCGGCGCAAATTAGCGCCTACAAGAGTGCGTGAATACTTCACGCATTGCACCAAACACAGTGCGCTTGCTTGTCAGCCGATTCCGGTAAACTTTTGTTACAGACCCATGTTGCTGTGGTATTACAACAAGTTCTCGCACAGAAACCTTCTACATATTGATTTTTCCAGAACAATGCTAGATCAACTGGACTAAAATTTTTAGGAGCATTTTAAGAAGTGACTTAGAACAAGAAAAAATTTTGTGATAAATTGGGCAGATAAGGCGTATACACATTTCCTACTTAACACAAGTTTAAATAATCAGTAAATTTTCAAAACTTCTAAACCATGCAATTTACTTAATGTAGGTATTTAGATGAACAAGATATGCTACCTTGTAGAATGTTCCTTACAAAGGTACTGTATACTTATAGCAGCTATTATATTATGCATATTACTATAGAATTCTCCTTGTGAAAGGTACTAATCTGTACGTAGGTACCTAAACTGAGCGGCTTGGAGGACAAGTGGGATATACGTGCAGTTTTTGCTATTTCAAGAAATAGATACGTGTTGAAAGTTTCAAAATTACATGGATCCTCATAGCGGAAAGACATTTCAAACCCTCTTTCTAGTGTCTAAAAATTGGGTTTTCATGGTGAACTTAAGAATATATTTTTAGACTAGTTTTAGTTGAAATCAACAATATCTCAATTTTTAAAAGAATGCACTTATTCCACTTGCCTTCCAAGCCCCCCATATGTATTTCACTATTAATAGGTATATATTTTTAAATGTTTCATCCATGGCATCTGTAAATATCCTGTTCAGAAGTACAAAAGAGGGGCTGAATAATATAGGTGGAACATACAGAGCACATGTAAGACTGGGGTACCTACTAGAAGCTATGCAAAATAATTCAGAGCCCTGCAGTCTTAAATGGCAAAATGAAAAAATAACAATGACTCGATTAAGCAGGGTGAAACAAGAAAAACCTTAAAAAACTTATGCCTCATTAACTTAAGATGAAGTAGTGCAGAATGCGTTAGGTAAACCCAATGATCCAGTTTGAATCGTCGGTATGGAAGGCTCTTACTCAAGAGGCTTTCGATATTAAACCCATAGCCTTATTAGTCCACTGGAAAGCTATAATTTATTGGGACTGTTCGTGAAATTTTGAAAATTAAGTCGCTCTAGTAGAAGGTAAACTTATCCTTTTTCTCACCTACTCTCTCCTGTTTCCTTCCGAAATGGACTGGATATTGAATCACGAGTACCTCTGTTGGGCTGTGACATTGCAGTTTTCCTTTCACACTCTAAATTTTTGAATGGTAACCAATTATAATTATACTACGAAATAGTGCGTGATTTGCTTAGTAAAGTCAACATTCTTCTTTTTTGAGAGCCAAAAAATTTCCTCTGAGACTCGAATTCAAAAATATTGGGCGATACTTGATAAACTCGTCGTTTCCCAGATGAAGGGGGCTCTTCCAAGGTTGCAAAATTGATTTAAAAATTCAATTTTTTACAAGAAAAAAACATCCGCAATTTTCATTGAAAATTTGTCTAATTTTCGTACGAGATCAGGAGAGAAATCAGCGTAACTTTCAGCTGGAAATTCCCCAAAAATCTCCTGGTGAGAAAACCAATTTGCGCTAGGAAATTAGGCAGCATTGAAAACATTCTTTCGACATTCTTTCGTGAGGGGAACTAAGAAATATAAAAAAGACGGGAATTTTGAACCACCGCAATGCTGCGATGATACATGTTTTTCTTTGTCACCACGACGAGTCCCTGACAACGTCTCTGTGTAAGCACATGCCACTGATAGTGAGTCCGCAACTGTCTTCTGACACCATTGAAAGGTGTCCGTTACTGCTGAACCGGAGAATAATGCAAGAAGGAGCGCACTTCTGCCGTACTTAGGAAGAACGCCGTAAAAGCCTTCAGACGTTGCCAAGTTTCCTTCGATAAAAACCGAGCTAACTGGGCAAATTGCGAATATTATTTTCCAAAATTTTCAGACAATGTTGTACCTACGCGATTTACTCTAAAATAACTGAAAATTTCAAGGAAAAATACGCATGAATGTTGTCAAAAATACATGTTTCATCCAGGGAAATTTGGCAACTCTCGAATGTTCATACGGCGTTCTTCCTTAGCACGGCAGACTTTGCATCGGAGTATCAATCGTTATTCCGCTCCTTCGGAAGTGCGCTATCACTTTTGCCGCGCGCATAAGTCCGCACCACGGTTTTCCCGCCGAGCATTCTGTCCAGGAGCGATTGTTTGTTCTTCTTTCGGATCTGCAAGATCTCCCTGCATAATTCGTGGAAAACGTCGGCTATCTGGGAAACTTGCTCTGCCGCTGTTACTTCCTTGAACCAGCAGTCAAAGCTTCTCGCCAAATTCTCACCTGGAATAAAATTGATTTTGTTTAATTCTTTTATTATATGATGGGCTTGGCAGACACGGCGCTTAAGTGCAGTTTTTGCTATTTCGAGGAATACGAGTTTGAAGTCTCGAAATTACACGGATCCCTATGCCGGAGAGAAAGTTCAAATTGATTTTTAGTGCTTACAAATTGGAATTCGGGAGCGAATCATTCACAGAATATACATTAGGACTAGTTTCACATAAAACCGTTAATATCTCAATATTTTAAAAAAATGCACTTATGCGCCTTGTCCTCCATGCCCCTTAAACATGAGAAAATCAGGCGAAAATGGTTTAATATGGGTAAAAGAGAGGGGGAATTTTCAAAAGGAGCGTCCATGTAAATGACGTCAGACATATCTAGAAGAGAGGGGGCGGGGAAGGACGGTCAAGATCTGACGTAAGGCTGGAATCGGCGCACACTGGACCGAATCAATAGGAGGAGTCGGACAAAATTTGAAAACTGTGAACGCTTATAACTCCATTTATACAAAACTTAACGGTTCCATTGGTTTCCTCGTTAAATTTTCTTCTGGGAGCACCCCTTAAAGTTTAAAATGTAACGAAATGAACATCAAAATTTGTAACATTAGTCAAACATTTTATGTCCGACCTCGCTAACTGACTCGCTACACTGTGCGGCGCGAGGCGCTCATTTTTTAGAAAATTCTGATCGAAAATGGCACAGAGCGTCATTTCTCGTGAGTAATGAGTTAATCTAGGCCCTACGTAAAGCCTGACCCGAATCTGAGTGTCTCCTCATTGATCGAGCGCAGCATTCCCAGTTTACGCCTCGTGCCACCGCGCCTTCAATTTCGCAGATGCAACACGTACATCCATCAAGCACGAATAGTTGTATCTCTGCGCCGTCATTAACGCGCGTTGAGTAGCGTGGTCGTAGCTCGTCTTATCTTTGAAATTTGAGAAGTTGGGGTTAGTTTCAAAATTCGCTATGCTGTGTCCAAATCAATAATCATACATCTTAAATAGTTCTGATTAATTTCACTTTAAAAACTCATTGGAAAAGGGTGTCCCTCTCTGTTTTTAATTGTATTCTGAAGTTATCGACGGTGTAAGTCGGCAATCACATAACTCGGTTTGCTCGGTAACGTCGCGCGTCGCAGACTTCCTGTCATATTTTATTTTTTAAACGGAAAACCATTCAACGACAATTCTTTAAAACTGCCGTGATTTTTCTTCTCTGTGCGAAGAAAATTCTGCAAAAACTTCAAGGAATGATGTCAATTTGCTCTCCTTTAAAAAAATAACGTAGAGGCGGAGATTTTCAGACACCGCAAACGAGTTGTGATTGCCGACTTACACCGTCGATATGTCTTTTTATATAATTGCGCAATTTTTTCTTAAAAAGTAGGCATGTTTGAGGTAAATTATGTAGTGGAAGTGAAAAACCATAAAGATATCGAACAAGTTTTGCTGAAATATTTGTTTCATTTTAAATTTTTGGCGAAGCACACATCCACTACGTATAGAAACCACACTTCAGCTGCTTTATTCCCAAGAATTCTCTTCTGTGCAACCTGGCTGAAAGTATGCGAGCGTGAAAATGAACCACTCCATTCGACTAATCGAATGCGATTTCTTGCGTTCGTAATACTCTCAGCTTTGATTTATGTTTTACAAAATGGATTTTTTGGGAGGGCACAGTTTCTAAAGTGAGTTGTTTTTCCGCTAGAACCTTAAAGTGAAATTTAATTAATAGCCTTAAATTTAGCCAAATTTATCTATATCCCGATGTCTGTATACTTCCGGTGTAGATCCACCTGACGGTGGCTCAACAATTAAAGGAAGAGGGGGAGGGGGGAGCGAACAGAGATCTAGGCGGAGGTCAGCTCCTGGCATGCCTACTTCTGTCCATGCACTGTAAAAGCCCATTTATTTGCGTCTTAACTAGTCTAAAGTCACGGTTATTCTGCCGTGCTAAGAAAAAGCGCCGTATTAACCTTCAGGCGTTGCCAAATTTCGTTTGATAAAACAAGTATTTCCTGCCAAACATATGAATATTTTTCCTCTAATTTTTCAGCTAATTTTGTTCACAATTTCACCTGAAGTTCCTGAAGATTTCAAGGAAAAATATTCATAAATCCCCCTAACAATACACATTTCATCGGAGGAAATTTGGCAGCTCTCGAATGATCATACGCCGTTTTTCCCTAGCACGGCAGTGATGCTGTCGACTCTGGTTAGCCACTCACCTTCCTCGGTGGAGATCTGTCGGAGGTGAATTAAATCCCCTTTGTTGGCGATGAGAACGGTGGGCAAGTCGATGGATCCGAGCATAAGTTTGACCCTCTTGATGTAATTAATCGAATTTCGGTCGGTGATGGCGTACACCAGCACGAGACCGTCGGCCCAGTTTAATGTTTCCGAACTTGGCACCTCGTCAAGAGTCTGAAAAGTGACACATGCACACGAATCAAACAAACATCTCGATTATCCATTATCAAATCACGCCGAGACACGGCTTGACACTCTGCCCGCACTCCGACATCTCTTCCTACTGTTATTTTTGCACAACTATACACCCACTTCTGGTGCGGATGGAGTGAGGGGGTGGATTTCGCATTTCCGTATTCCTTTCATGCTTACTTGGACAGATGCGAGAGGGATCGCTACTGCCGCGCTAAGGAAAAACGCCGTATAAACCTTCATGCAGGCATTGCCAAATTTCTTCGATAAAACGCGAATTACCTAGTAAACTGATGAATATTTTCCTCCCGATTTTTCAAATGATTTAGTTCGCAACTATACCTAAAGATTCTAAAAATTTAAAGGAAAAATATTCATAACTTTCCGAAAAAATAAGCATTTTATCGAAGGAAATTTGGCAACTCTCGAATGTTCATACGGTGTTCTTCCTTAGCACGGCGGGCTAGTCCTGGGGGCAACTGGGGGAGGGGGCTGCTGTCACCCCGCAGAAATCTACAAGGCCCCTCCCAAAACTTATGAAGCATTTTGCTACGTGAGTGCATGACTAATTTTTCATCGTGGAAATTGTAAGCGGAAAGAACAGCTCAAAATTGCTACTGAGACGACTCAATTTTTCAAAATTTTCCGGGGATGCCCCTCGAGCCTCCTTTGAAGCTAGGGAAATTCCTCAAGCCCTCTTCCGGAGCTAGAAGAGTCCCGCAGTGGCAAGTAGAGCCCCCTTCGTGGAGTGTTTTTTTTCGTGCCCCTCATACCCCTCTTGCCTCTTGATGGGGTGCCCTTTCTACTCCTTTAGGGAAGTTTCTAGTCAGTAGTCTGGCCCATGTTTAAGTTGGACATTGTTACAAAATATGACAATAAATTTTCAATATATTGTCTTGAAAGCACGGATGCACTTGCGCTTACTCACCTTCGGACAGGAGTCAAGTAGATCAAAAATAATGGCGTCCCCATCAACCATTGCTTCGTGCTTGTACCTCAAATCTGAAAAATATGAACATGAATATGAAGCTCTCCGTCTTACTTACTGTAACATGTGCGTTCAATTTGCAAAGTAAAAAGATTCCAATTTGAAGTAAGAATGTTCCAAAAAAAGAAGTGAATAAAAGCGAGGATTATAGTTTGTTCTATCTAAACGAAGTTTGTCATATATAAACCAAACATTGCGCGTACGAGGTCTGTCAGGAAAGTATTATTCGCCCTTCTTGACAATCTCTAAACGTAGAGGAGATATTGAGGCTAGACTATTTGTTCGTACCATTACTATAATCACCCTGGTAAAAATTGGCGATAAGAGCTGCGTTTCAAAATACCATAGGAATTTTTATAGCCGGCTAAAGAAGGCTACAGAAAATCATATAGCTGGCTGTAGAATGCGGAGAAAATCATACGGCTGGGCTATACGAAGCGATAAAAAATTATGCAGCCGGGCTATGGTTCCTATCGCCGGGCTTTACACTTTATCGCCTGGCTGTTGCTTTTTTGCCATCGATTATAAAAGGCTATAAGAAATTGTGTAGAAATTCGTGTGCTTTGAAAATCATCAAGTTTGATACGGAACCATCTTAATATTTACAAAACACACGTTATAATTTCCTTTAATACATTTTTTTTTCATCAATTAAAACGAGAATAATCCATACAGGATGTGCAAACGTTTCAAAATCATGAGTTGACTAACGCTGACTCCGCTAGATTAAATATTAGAGCCTAACACAAAGCGGAGCGGCGACGCACTGGCGCCTACAAACCTAACAGGGATACTTCACGCATCGCGCAACGCGTGAAGTATCCCTGTTAGGTTTGTAGGCGTCGATGCGCGTTTCGCGCTGGCTGCCCGCCTGCCGCACTGCAGCGTGCCACGGCGCTTGAAGCAACTATTTCACACCAGAGGTATTGCACAGTATCATACGAAACTGAAGGCGCTCTAATATATTAGGAATGGCAGGCATCCATCAAAAGTACGGAGCTTTCCTCGCAAAATAAATCAAGATACTACGGCCCAAAAAGAGAGCAGTGGTCTAAAAACTCACTAAGTCCTAGCTTCTGTAATTAGTGACGTTTAGGCCGATACACTTTATAGCCTGGCTGTGAGTCGCTTAGTCGCCATCGGCTATAAAAGGCTATAAGAAATTGTGTAGCCGGCTATAGAAGCTATTGGAAATCTTACAGCCGGCCGTAGGTCCATGGTATTTTGGAACACAGATTCTACTGCCAATTTTTACTAGGGCACTTGACCATTCGGTTTGTCAACCCGAACTTTCGGACATCTTGCAGAAAATTTTGGACGTAAGAATAATTGAGTGAGTAGATAAAAACACCAAGTTTACCTGATTGATGGTCATATTCTCCTATATACCGCTTTGTGATGAATCGAACAGTCAAAGCTGAAACAGAAATCACAAAAAACCAATCAAAAAGTATCCTTCTTTTTCCTTACATTTTTGCACTTCAATTAACAATGTGCACTTGAGGTTCTTGTCTCACCCACTTGATTACTTAGAATTTGAATTTAAAAGTGAAGAAAAATATGCCGCTCTCCTGTTCACGCGAAGCATATTTTCCCCCGTAAATTTTAAAGTAGGGGTAAGGTAAGTCCCCATGGACAGTGAGCAGGTTCGGAATTTGATCATTCAACAATGGTTGTGAATATTTTGCCTCCATGGATGAAAGCCTCTTTTCCTAGGATTTTTTTTTTTTTTTTTTTTTTTAAACTTGAACAAATTTTCATCCAACCTCATTCGCATAAAAAAACCCCATGCATCTAATTCATGGAAATTTGATCTGTATTCCCTTCAAATTCATCATCCATGATCAGATTCTCCGTCAGTTTATGCCGAATTTCCATTGAACTTCGTCAAATTCAGAGGGAATCGCTGCGTGTCGAACACACTCTCTGAACGTTCGGTCGACGGAATATGACCCTGTTCCAAATCGGCGGGGAAGATAATTTCGGATTTTCAAAATCGGCGGAACATTATCACCCGCAATTCCATGTCAAGATGGGTGGGGGATGCGGTTTTGCGTCGCTCACCGTCCACCGAACTGTTTTTCGCTGATTAAATACGATACGACTCCCCTGCTCAGGCGGCCAATTAAAGTTACAGCTCATAATTTATTGGAGTCGCAAGCTCACGCGACAGGCGATAGGCCGCGCCGCCTAGAGCAGAAGCTCCTAATTTTATGAGAGCACACGTGTCGTAGGGAGCTCCCAGCTCACCTACCTCTAAAAATCTTCCCCGACTTCCCCCGGCGTAAACGTGTGCACATCTCGAGTCGACTTCGCCCCATTATGAAATATCGTAAATAATAAATTTGAAATTTGGTTAGCGCCGATCGGGGAACCCGAAAAATTTCGGTTGACATGCATTCGCGGAGCGCCGTGCGCCCTGTCCCAAGCGCCGAGGCGAGGCTGTTTTCATCGATGACAAGCCATGTTGCCAGATTTTCGGAAACTTATCAACTGAAGAGTGGAAATTCAAAACCTGGTAAGCGCCACTAGGCGTTACTTAAATTTTGTGTGGGATCCCTACTCTGAAAGACTCTTAGTGCATGGACGTCATGGACTTTTTCATGGGGAATTTTCTCTAAAGTTTCTTCTTATTCTCACAAAAAGATTATGGGTAGTTTATGTCAGGTCATTCTGAACTCTCACGAACCTAATGGGATTTCCGGAAACTTATCATATTAAGAATGGAAATTCAAAATCTGATAAGCAGGTGTTACTTAAATTCTGCATGGAATCCCAACTGGGAAAGAATCTTAGTATATCGACGTCATGTACTTTTCCATGGAGAATTCTCTCTAAATTTGTATCTTATTCTCCCAAAAAGATTATTGGTAGTTTATTTCAGGCCATTCTGAACTTTCATAAACCTAATGAACCTAAGATTTGAAATTTTTTAAGCAACACCTGATATTCTTTACGTATTCCTGAATGTCCACTCTTCACTTGGACCGCGCTAAGCGGAAAGGAACCAAGCCACCTTAAGTGCAGCCAAATTTAATTTGGCAGTCTAATTTTTTAGACGAAACCGGTTGTGCGGATTTTTGTGCAAATTTCAGTGAATTTCCTGCATAGTGCGAAACGAATTTCTTAAAATTTTCAAAGGGATTCGCACAAAAGTTCTCTTATAAAAAATGAAATTGCCCGGTTAAAATTGGCAACAGCTAATGTGGCTTGGTTCTTTTCAGCTTAACGCGGTCCATTTGTTCCACCAGAAAACGGTCCTTAGACAAAAAAACAAAAAAAAACCGTCAAAATTGGTCTATTAATACCGAAGCACCGACAGGTAAGAGATGTTGTTCAAAAATTTTTGGGATTTAAAAAAAAAGAAAAAAAGAAAAAAAAACACCAACAATTAAGAAACTAAACAAGAATCAGGTATAACTGTTTGAATTTCAGAAAATTGATTATTGAGAAGAAGTTAATTGAATTCTGATATGCCACGATGAGAAATCATCGGTTTAAAATTCAACTTCTATTGCCCCTATTGACGTAAAAATTAATTAAATTGCCTGCCAAATGATATCCAGAATATTGTATTTCGACGCGAAAGTTATGCTTCATTATCGCTTCTTCAGGTTTTTTATTTGGGGTTAAAATATTTGAAAGCTGACAACATGGAGGCGAGCTAAAAATTCAAGGACAAGAAACTTAACGCGTCCGCGATTTGGCGTGGGGCGCTGCTCGCAACACTTGGGCCGGGGTGGTAGTGACCACAGTGGTTCGCCGGGAAAAAAGAAGAAAAATATATTCATACTGAAGAAGATACAGAAGTATATACGGTTTTGAATACTTAGCCGAGAATCCTCTACACCATTCAAGATAATTTTAAGGTCGATAAACTTAGTCCATTCTACTTTATGAAACAAGCTATGTTTGATTGTGTGGATTTCAAGTATTAACGATGACCGTTCAGAAACATTTTTCAGAAACTCATATAGAAAAATGTTAAAAATGATGTTTTGGGAAAATCTTTTTGAATATTCTTCAGTGAAATTAAAATCTAGTTCAAGGTAAGCAAAAAGTATTTTTTAAAAAATCCATATTTTTTAAAATGTTGAGTGTTAAAAACCCGCAGTTACCTATTTAAGAGGTCTTTTGAACACTTTTCTCACATACATTTTATATCTTGTAAATTTTGCCGAAAGAGACTCTTAAAGAGGGGTTTCTAACACAAACATTTCAGTAATTTTTCGAAGATTTATCTTTTTAAATATTAACGAATTTTTTTTTAATTTTTCTTTTCCTATCCCCATCGGGAGCATAGATAGACCTTTTTTATGGGGAGGGCGATTCACGGTCAAAAATGTCTCATGGGGCAAGCGAAATGGTAAAGAATTTCTAAAAATCACAAAACATGACGTTTTTCAAGGAAAATCATCCAGTCATGAGGATGAACCTGTAAACCCCCCCTCCCTCCCCTTCCGGATTACGTCAGATTCCTGCATTCGTTGCCACTGGGACGAATGAACATTTCGATATATTTGGAAACGTCTGATAAAATCGGCGAAATTCTGGTAAAATCGGATCTGGATCCCATGAGCGGCGACGCGCGTGCGATTGGGCTTCGCGCGGCGTCGCGCATCGGGATCTGTCACAGTTAGTTTTGGCAAAAGGTCAAAGTCATTTTGAAATATTGTGTCTGCCTCTGCATCACGCATAGCGCATCATGCGCCACGCTCAACCCATGCTCCCGCGCTTTCCTGGAAACACCCCCCCCCCTCCTTCCAGTAATTCAGTCACTTTTGACCCACAAACACGATCCCAAAACTCGGGAAACCAACCTCTCTGGTTGACAGACCGAACTTAAGTTCGATGAACCGAAAGATCAATTCTAGCACCTCGAGGTATCAATTCTATAAGCCAGCCAAAGACTCAGTTTAACGATACGACTTTGTCGGCCGGGGAGGTCTGTGTGCGAGATTGAGGGCTCAGTACAACTGTGCTGATGAATAAAAACGTGATAAGAGAGAGAGAGACACGATAGCCCAAATGCAGACCAGGGCCGGATTAAGGGGGTGGCCACATGGGCCGCGGCCCATGGCGGCAAATCTAGAAGGGGCGGCAAATTTTGAAAATTTTTTAAATGTAGGTACAGAAAATTCGAATTTAGAAAAAAAATTACAAACGAGAAAAGGCGACAAAATCTCTAATTTTCCGAGAGTATAGTAATTTCTACTTTCGTCGTCTTTCAGTGATACAAGAGACAACACCTTTAATTAGTCGAGTTAAGAGAGAAACCAAACACGCAATTTGGCCTGGAACGGCGCGACTTAGAGAGAAATGATGACGAGGACTTGAGATGAAAAGGAGAAGTCCTCGGCGCGGCGATCGGCATGTAACACATATTAGCGCCTACAAGACTGCGTGAATACTTCACGCATTGCGCCAAACACGGTGCGGTCTGCGCGGCGCGGCGGAGGAAGATAAAATTTTTAAACCACAGCATTTATGTTTGATCTTTCATAATTTTTTCGTTCATTCCTTCTGAATGAAAGGCCTTGTCCATACAGAGATAGGTTTACAAGACTTAACTTTCGCGTAAAGTTCCGTGAACTTTTGCTAGTAGTGTTGTCAGGACTTTCCCAAAAAATGTGTTCAACACAAGTAAACGCGTCTTATGCACCCCTCCCCCGCTGGCGCGTTCATTTGATGGTTTTTTTGATGTTTTAAAACGAATGAGAAGGGGGTGGCAAAATACAGGCGGCCCACGGGCGGTAAGTAGGTAAATCCGGCCCTAATGCAGACAACAATAAAAGCACACTTTAATACAAAAAACAAATGGGCATACAAGCCGAGAGGAGTTCCGAGAGTTTGTCTCGATGTAGAGGTGGACTCTCAGGATAGCGTGGGATATCTCCTCCATTTTGGCCGCAACTTGAGAGCCTTTTTAGAGCTAGGGAGTTGATTTCAGAGAAAACCAGTGGCACCATCGTGTTTCTCGCGAACTTTTACACATGAATCAATAGTCAAATCACAAATTCCTCACACATGCAACATCTCCATTCCCATTCATTCCTACGACCCTCAACGAACGAGCACACCCCTTCTTTCCCGCACGTCTCTAGTTTCGTTTATCACAAATACTTCCAATTGGACGTATTTCTATCAAACGGACCTAAGCGCCACAGGGTGAGGAAGTAGAGGGAGGCTTGGATTGGCGGCGGAATCGGGCGTCCGGCTTATTCCGTCCTATACTCGCAATGCTTTTCCATGGCGCTTAGGTCCGTTTGACAGAACGCGCTATCCGGGACTCTAAATTCCTCAAAAGGAACTTCAATTGGCGCTTAGTTCCGTTTGATAGAAATACGTCCAATTGATCTTGCACTGGTCATAGTCTCCCTATGAAGACATTCTACTTCAAGTCGACAGAGCCTGACG